TTAAACATTCTATTCTGTAATGAATAACAGACCACTTGGTTGTTCAGGTTTTTATTTAAGTTTATTGCCACACAGATTTACTGAAGAGCTGTTTACACTCGGCATTAAAAAAAAGTCATTGGAGCTATTATTGGTTTGGTTACTTGAATTTCGTAGCTGATTGAAACATTTTTCTGCATTTTTGTTGATAAAATCGATAATCAATTGAAAATCTTGTGATTATCGACTTTTATCGACAAATTTAACTTGTCGATTGACAATTATTGACAAATATCGAGTACTATCGACTTATCGACTACGTTTTCGATGATCAACTCTGATCGACATGTTACGTCCTGAAGAACAGCTAATTCTGCATTTCAAGGCACAAGATTGTGAGTAAAATCCAGGTAAAAGAACCATTGATTAAAATTCATAAAATAAAATTAATCAAAGGCCCTTTAGGCAGCCTTGTGTTACTTGTTTTAGTGACTTTAGTGTGCGCAAAAATCCATCGCCAAACCAAACAAAGGTAATGCAAGTGTTATGTTAGCTAAATTAACCAGGTGCACATTTTCACTTGAGGTATTTTTACAAATACAATTTGATTTGATTCGATCTTGCCCAATCTGACCCTTACTGACAATTATTTTTTTGTGATTTACACCTGTTTACTTATAATAATAATAATAATAATAATAGATTTGTATAGCGCCATATCCATGGCTCATGGCGCTTTACAGTAAAAAATGTTATTAAAAATAAAATTTAYATTAAAAATTTACATCAGTGATAAAAAATTACTAACAAATAAAATAGCTAAGCTGTAAAAATGAAAGTAAAACTAGGAATCATTAAAACCTTTACTTATTCTCTAAAAGTATGCATTCTATGTTAACACTAGCTTTTTCAGTTTTTTTTTTTTGTTTATTTTTTGTGAATGTCAACCTTTATTTATAATTTCACTGAAAAAAGCAACATACAATAGACTAAAATTAATATCAAAATGAAACAACTTACAAAAAAATCATAACAGATGAGGATAGGTAGCTGATCAGAACTAATTACACATACCTTCAGTCGACAAATTACAGACACAAGAATCAGACAAATAGGAAAGTAATGGGAAAGCAAACATTTAACGGGGGTCGCCTCAGGTATACAAACACGTTAGTAGTAGCAAGTACAAGTTAAAAAATTACAAACCAAAATTGCATGATTACTTTACTACACAAAAAAATGAGAAAGTGGAAATTATAGGGCAAGGAAAATAACAAATCAAAGTAACATTTGCATGGTTCAAATAACTTCAACTCGGTATTTGCACGTGTTTCTTACTAGCGCTTACTGGGGCTTACAGCTCCACACAATGTGGGATGTTACATCATACAAATCTATTGTTTTACAAGTCGTGGAATCCTGTTTTTTAAGTATCGGGGAGCTTTGTCCGAAGTAGTAGAGTAACATTTAGCAACCTTAAAATGTGCGAAAATAAGCGAGAGGCATTTACGACAACGGAAAAAACAAAAGTAAGCTTAAGTCTTACCTAACAAACTGGTTATCAAGGCTCCTGATCCTGAAGCTAACATTTGCTGCAGTGGCGTTATTTTTCCACTACTTGACCCAAGACTGTTCATTATGATAGCCTTCTGAGATGAACTCGTTTTATACACAAATAAATCATTAACTAGAAAGACCATAAAGGCATCAAATCCATGTAAAGACTCCTTTTCGAAGAAAGCCGCGAACGATCGTCCATTTTGGATAACCTTGTACCCAGGGCTCTTCTAATGTGGGGGCGGTAAGTTGCTGATTCTTACATTAGCCCTGATTGGTGGAAATAATATTTCGGGCAGACTGAATTTTCAGACCTTATTCAACGTTTCGAAAAGCGTGGATGTCCCTCTTTTAGTTTTATTTGTTTCTAAATATTCCTCCGAAACCTCGGAAAAACGGGGTAACGTCGCCAAATTAAGTGGTGAACGATAAAGACTATAGAGTGTATCTGGCGAGGAAACTTTTTCACAATTATTAGATTATGAGCTCGACAGTGGCTCGAGATTTCTAAGAGGTGATAGTTAATGAGCCCCAAGGGCGAATCTACTGTCACCTCATAGAAATCGCGAGCTCATTATATAATTGTTAATTTTTAGAATGCTGACTACATGGTCTTCAAATGTGCAAGTTTTAAAAACATCAAATTTCCAAGGGGCAACTATCATACCGACAGTTCCAAGACATAAACACTCTATTGTCTTTAATTGTCCACCACTAAATTTTCTTCCGCCCGCCAGTTCTAATTGTTTTAGTAGAATATTTACTAAAATTTACTTCAAACAACGGTTTCCAATTATTTCTCGACGTACTATTAAACTTTGCGCCTTAAAAAGATCGCTGAGATTGAATTATCATTTAAAATTGAAGTTGTGTGCACGCGCGCATCAGTTTTTTCAATAATTTCAATTTTTTTTAAAGTCAAGAAACCGTAAACGGCCTTCGTTTAGCTTTCTCTGGAATTTAA